TTTCCCCTCTCCACATTCCTCAACCTCCTGAGACATGAGCTACAGCTTCCCAAGAAAAGTATATTACCTCTTCCATTATTTCTCCGTCTGTTTGGAAAGATTGATGATCTTCCTTCGCACCCTTCCTCTTGAAGACGACCTAGGCAAACGCCATGAAAGAAAGGCCAGCTCCACTGGAGATCCCCTTGCAGAGGGGTCTCGGGGAGGAGATGAGCCAGTCAGGGTGCGATGTAACAACGATGAAAAACACAACTTTCCTCTAGTTCCTAAATGTTTCCTCCCTGCTCCCACTACCATGACTCGAATTCGACCTTGCAAGTCTGCTAGACCAGAGGAGGTACACTGGTACAGATAGGAACTGAAAATACAGGGCGGATGAGCCCTATAGGACCAGTGGTGTGAGTGGCAAAACAGGGAGGGTAAAGGGAGAATGGGTAGGAAAGAGGGAACCGATTACATGGAAATGTGTGTGACCTCCTCCCTGGGGGACAGACAACCGAAAAGTGGGTGAAGGGAGATGTCGGACAGGGCAAGATATGACAAAATACCCATTTATAAACTATCAAGGGCTCATGAGGGACAGGGGAGCGGGGAGGACCTAATGTCGGGGGTTTGAGTGGAGAGAAAATGTTTTGAGAAACGATGTACAAATGCGCTTTACACAACTGATGTGTGTATGGATCGGGATGACAGTTGGATGAGCCCCTAATAAAATGTTTAAAAAAATAAATAAAAAATAAAACAATGAAAACTAAAAAAAAAGAAAAAGAAAAAGAAAGAAAGGCCAGGTTGTGCATTCTGACAGCTAACTTTGCGAGTGTTTTAACCTGTTCCCACACTTGGAGGTTCCAAGGAATGCCTAGGTTGATGGGCTCCCCTGCGTCACGTGCAAATGATCCATCTGTCATGTCCATCCATGAAGACACATTGCCATCAAGTCCCGTCGGATGCAGAGTTGGTCTGCCCTGGACTGTGCCCAAGGTTGGGCATCTTTATGGAAGCAGGCTGCTCCTGTAGTGTGGCTGGTGGGTTTTGAACTGCCAACCATTCAGTTACCCGCCCAATGCTTAACCCACAGTGCGGCTAGGGCTCCTTATTCACATCCTTTAGAGCCCCAGGTTTTGTTTCCCTTCTTGTCGTCGGGAAATGCTGTTTTGTTGTTGTCCTTGCGGCTGCTGCCACGGTTGTTTTTAAGGAGAGAACTTGGGAGCGTAGTTCAGACACTGGCCTGGTAGGATGTTGATTGGATTTGCCTAAAGCATGTCCTCATTAGTGGTGCACCCTTTCCCTTTCAAATGTCATCTGGCAGACGCCTCGGCAAGGATTTAATTATGGTGACTCGGGGCCTTAGAAACTTTGGACTTGGCTGAATGTTCTTTTGAAAGTGCCGCAAGGGCCTGTCCTGCGGACGGAAGAACGCAGATGGACTGAAAGCCACTGGGCAGGCCGGGGGTGGAAGACACGTCTCATCGCTCTCCTCCTCCTCCCCGTGGTCCCCTCCTTTTTTCTTTTTTTCAACTGAAGATTGGAATTTTAATTGCACAGCCTGTTTTAATTCATGAGGCCCAGAAAGGGCATGGTTTATTAATGAGTTCAGATTATTAGGTGCCCTGAACCTGGGCCTGGCTGCGGCTTGATCAGCTTCCACAGCGCTTTGCTTACAACTGCTATCTGTCGGTGTGTGGAGGCGTAATTATGCTCAGTTCTGCCAGGTTAAACCCTCTATTGTGAATACATCTTATGGTGTCTTAAGAAGGCGTTTATTGAAATGCCATCGTTTAATAGTTCAGGCTCCCAGAATCAAACTCTCTAAGGTTACAGGCAACAGTCTCTTAATTGGATGTTTTCCCCCAGTACATAAAAACCTTGGCTTAAACACATACACTCACCCCCAATTAACTAGAAAAAAACCCACGAAGTGTGAGAAACAATAGTGCTTCATGGTTAAGAGCCCAGGCTCTGGGCCAGACAGGCTGGATTTGAATCACGTTTCTGGGATTCTCCGGCTCCGTTAATGATGGGCATTTGTCTGACCCTCATTCTATTGCAGTGTCTATCGGTAAAATAAGGGTAATGCATGTGCCAGTGTCTCGCTGTGAGGTTTAAGCACTTAGTGAAGAATGGGGAACATGAGTATTATGACAATCTTTGGGCCGAGTGTGCCAAGGAATTTATTTTTATTTTTTGTGCTATAAAGTATAGTTGCATTAAGCCTTGACATACGCAGGGATGCCTTCTTGTAGAAAAACAACTTACAGTTGTCCTCTGGTATCATCTCTCTCCCCTTTTCTTATTAATAGCTCTTTCCCACCAACTTTTCGTTTGGTTCATGACTGTCCAGAGTAGAGCGTGTTTGGTTTTTTCTTGCATTAACTATTTGAGATCAAAAGGGCAGCATTTACCCAAAGACAGAGTTCAGGAGGTTTAGACCAAAAAGAACGAATGGACACAGGAAGCAGAGGGAGGAAGTGGGATTAGTGATGTCCCATGGAAGGGAAGACAACCTGTGAGGGGTGTGTGTGTGTGTGTGTGTGTGTGTGTGAAGTGCTAAATGGGAAGCGGAGGATCTGTTCTGGAAATCCATGCACAATAAAACAGCTAAGGAAGAAGAAAAAGGCACACATGACTAATTCATGGCCAATGGCAGCAAAGGAGAAATTGATGGTTAATGTCTGCAAAGGTGCCTCATCAGAAGAAGAGTTGGGGTTCCTTCAGCTCATCCTCCCTTCCTCTTAATGGGGGTTTGGTAGCTGGGAGTCCAGCAGAAATAATGGGTCATTAAATGCTAAATTACAAGTGAAAATGGCATGGATGACAGTCAGTGACTGTCTCAATGGGGTCAGGCAGAGGAACAGAGGAACAATTGTGAGAATGGCGCAGGATCGGGCAGTATTTTATTCTATTAGGCGTAGGGTCGCTATGGGTCAGAGCTGACTCCACAGCACCTAGCACACACAGAGTTCCCTAGATGGACAGTCTCCCTCTGAAGGGGTCAAGCAGTAGCCAGGTCGCCCCCAGGATTGATTATTCTCTTGGGCAGGAGACACCCAGGAGTGGTTCTCAGCCAAGACACCATAGCAGGGATATGACACCATGGATGGTAAAACGGATGTGGCTGAGACCCAACAGCATCTTTAATAGTTGTTCATGATGTGGTAACTCTTGAGTGTGGAAACTATGTATCATTCACCTTGGCAGTCATCATAAACCTAGCTCATGTCGGGCAGGTGAAAGCTCTAGTTTGTAGAATAGAATCATCCAAGATCTGTAGGAAATGCCCCCTGGATGGCACGCTTCTAACCTGCTGCCATTTGTAATCACAGATACCTGTGAGGGACTTAGTCACATCTCCCAAGCAGCAGAGAACCCAGCTGTGTGGGTGATCAGAGGATATGGGAATGTGGATTGCCTGGATACCCTGTCAACTCAACTGTCTGAGGACTGAAAGCTTAAATTAGGAAAAGGGCAGTCCCTTCCTCTGAGGGAGCAGAGGAGAGAACTTCAATCTGTTTAGCTCAGCTCTAAATTACGGTTTCAAATTTTATCAAAGTAATACACACATCTGGCTAAGCATGCAGATGGAATAAAAAGCAGATAAATGACTGGTAAGGTCTCCTTCTCCATCTTCTTGTCTCTTAGTTCCCCTCCCTAGAGCCAATGACCGTTAACATATTCCTGGGTTTCTATTCAGAAATTAGTTGTGCACCTACCAACCGATGCATTTATAAGGAAAACAAGGAAGTGATAGTGTATATGAGGGGGCTTCATAAAATACATGAGGAAATACCTTTTCATTCCAGTTTCCCCATGAACTTTATGAAGCCTTTGTATATGCTGCAAGGAGACCTGTGGCATAATGAGTTCTTTATTCGACTGCTAACCACAAAGTCAGCAGTTTGAACCCACCAGTCGCTTCAAGGGAGAAAGATGAGGCTTTCTGCTCCTGTAAAGATTCACAGCCTTGGAAACCCATGGGGGCAGTTCTACTCTGTCCTATAGGGTCACCCTGAATCAGAATTGACTCCGGGGGGTGACTTTTGGTTGGTAGATACTGTTCTCTCCTGCTTTGGTTTTCAGTAATAACCGACCTCGCCGATCTTCCCTGATCAGCACATCCATCTCTAGCCACTTTTGTTCAATGACAGCATAGGGTCTTTGTGCATCAGAATGGACT